CAAGTCGTATTGTGAGTGTGTGTGCATTTTTGTCTCTCCTTGAAGCTCCAAATCTCCTACCCCGGAAACAATTCCAACTTTCACTCACCAAGCCCAAGCGGTAACATCATTCTACCCCTATCTTACGCTATTGAGGGCAATGTCGAGCTTAAGTGTGAGAGGGTAGTTTACTATTATGCTTGTGTGAGTGTGATTTATGCTTGGAGCCTTGATGTATTGCCAAATTTTAAAAATTTGAGGGCTCCAATCAATGTTTGCATGATCAAAAAGTGGCCAGTTTGTGGGAAAATCTCGTGTTTATTGGCATTCATCTTGATTTGTTGCATATGATCGAGTATATCCTATGATGATAACTGAGAGGTCCATTAGGATAGTGAAAAATTTTAGGTCTCATGTGTGCATAAATTAATGGATGTCTTGACTTGATTACTTGTTAACTACAATTTGCCATGCATTGTGTTTTGTGAATTGGAATAGATGGTTGGGTGACTAGGTAGCCATGTGAGCTTTCAGCCGATCATTTTCTTCTTGTGTGATTAGATCCCTCTTACCATGGCGAGTAATATCACAGTTGTCACTAGTGAGTATGATGGAGGCATAAGATTAGTCCATGCCTAAATGTTGATTCTCCCGAAATGTGTTATCCACTAGTCAACCCCTTTGAGCCTTGTGACTTCGAGGGTCGTTCTTAATTTAGGAGTTTCGTGCTTGTGAGCTTAATGGTATTGATAGAACGACCCCCAATCCTTTCTTCGTGTCTAAACATGAGTCGTCCTTGTGTCCCAGAGCTCTCACTTTTGAATTTCCATAGAGGTTTTACATAGGAGGTTTGTGTGTGGTTATTGCTAGGAATGGAAAAGGAAATGTAGTGTTGGAGTGAGTTCTTGAATAGAGAGCATTGGTCATTAAATGTATAGGTGACAAGTGTTTTTACTCTCTAGTACCCCCCCTCAAAAAGAAAAAAAAGAATCGAAAAAGAGGTAATAAAACGGGGTAAATAAAGTCGAGAGTGCCACGAAAAACAAAAGTGTATGCTCTAGGAGGGGTTTCTTGGAACTCAAGCCATTGAAACCCCCCACATTGTTTTAGAACTCCTTCACTATCAAACTATACTGTGATAGCAAGAGTAGACCGAGGAAGAGCGCTTAAATGTAGTTCATGATGGGTGATAGTTTGGAAGGGAGAGATAAGGTTTTTGGCCGATGCTAGTGGCCTTTGGTTGAAGAGAAGGGTCTTAGTCGAAACCATAGAACCTTTGGGTTTAGGTTGAAGATGTAGAACCTCATGTCGTGTTTGCCACCACCCAAAAAGCCTTTTCCCCATGTCCAAGACAATTTTCAGTCATTTGAACCCGTGTCTAAGACCTCCGGACAAGCTAGTGGTGACAACCTTCCGGTGAGCTCTAGCGTTTAGAGGTTACCTCCGTGGTATTGAGAAGATAAGGCCGAGTGTTGATGATTGTGCATATCTTTTGCACAAAAAATGTCCCGACCCCACTGGTTGAGGGTTAGTGATTCGTTCTTGTTTTACATGCCATATCATACCCCGGTGAGGACCTTTATTGACTTTCCATTTGATCCTCGAACTTGAATTCTATGCATGGTTAGTTGTGGTTGATAAGTGGTCTTGTTGAGACTTGCATTGATCCATGAACAAGGTGATAACTTTTCGTTTGCCCACTTTTGGTGGCCTCGAATGTCGTTTGTGGTGGATGTCGGTATTGCTTGCAACGGTCCATGTATTAATTGCCAATAGAAATTGAGAATTCCCACTTTGTGCCCTTTGAGTTGTCCCCAAAGTATTTTTGTAGGTTGAAATATTACCTTGTGTGAAATGGTTTGCTTGGGGACAAGCAAACTTCTAAGTGTGTGGGAGTGATTCGGGCCTAATTGTACGCATTTTACCCCCCGTTTTCCTTAGGCGTTTGTGGCAATTGTGCTCCTAAAAGGGTGGTTTTACGCTAGTTTTCTTGTGTTTTAGCATGTTTTAGGATCTAACAGGTGAAACCAGCCCTGGAGTCGAAAGTTGGACGAAAAGGAGTGAAAACCGGGAGAAGAGGTGAAAGGAAGAGAGAAGGGAGAGCCCAAGAGTGAGAAAGTGTCTTCTTCAGAATTAGAGAGAGAAAGAACGAACCAAGGAAGAAAGATGGCTAGGGTTTGCTCCAAGTGGTGAATTAGGAAGATTCTCCCCAAGATGGTTTCTACCTCTTCCTCTTGTGTTCCTCCCCTTTCTAGCATGGAGTAGTTTCCTTTTTTCACTTGGGTGTGGTGAAACCCTAACTATTTGCCATATAGTTGTTGTGTGAATTGAATGATTGTTTATGGGTGTTGTTTTCAATGATTAAGATATTTTTCATGTTGATTATGCATGTTTGTGCTTAGCAATCTAATTGGCCATTCTAACCTATATTAGAGGGAAAACCCCCTTTCAATGGAGGCTCAATTGAGTTGGGATTCTTATGGATTTTTTCGCCACCTATCTAGGTTAATGTAGGGAAAACCTCTATGTTGAATTAAGCAATTTGGTTAAGCGTGATTAAGCCGAGCAACTATTGGGTTGAGTGAGAAAGTAAGTCAACCATCGATTGCCTTAACCAAGAGGGCTACTTGAGTAGCCTATAATGTATCCCTTGGATTGGCAATCGAGAGTGTGGTCTACGACCATAGATGCGTTTCCTAGCGGTTCGCGGTCACCTTGCCCATAGCAATCACTTCGATTCACATGTCATGGTAGTAGTTAGGGGGAAGCGACACCCGAGTGATCCTTCTCACAAAGGGCTTTCAAAACCATTTACTTTTGACTTGTTTTACTTTAATTAGCAAACTTTTCAACCAAAACCGATTTGCTAGATAATGTTTCAAACAATTGAAGTAGGGATACATGAACAGCCCGAGTCGATATTTAAACATACTGTCCTGTATTCATAGTTAGTAAAATACGGTACGGGAAAGTTACATATAAAATACGTACGAGTATTTTACTTCAACTCTAAGCTAATGTTACGTCTATAGTACGTTAATAATAATAAATATATAATAAATAATTATTCTAAAAATAAATATATAAATAATAGTAAAGTTAACAATTTAATTCATTAAATACGGATATTAAACGTGTTATACGGGTTTTATACGTGTTTAGTACGGGAGCCATCAAATGAATTGAAAGAAATGAAACAACTTAACAAAAATACGGATACAAAAGTTTTAAACGAATAAAATACGTACGGATACATATATGTGTTAAACGGGGTATTTACTAATTATGCTTGTATTGCACCCTACTAAGCTTTATACTTGGACCTTAAGCTGGAATTAATTGTGATATTCGGAGCGAGTCAGTAATAAAGATAAATTTCACTTCATACATAAAAATCTAATTAATCGGCTAAATTGCAAGTTTGGTCACTTGAATTACTAGTAAAATTCACGTTAGCCACTATAATTACTTTATTCCATCAGTGGTCACTTAAATTAGGTTAACAGTCCAAGTTTGGTCACTGGCCGTTAGTCTCCGTTAACTTTTGCTAATGTGGCGGTCAACTCTTATAGTTGACCGTTAAATGAGTGACATGGCGGTTCAAAAATTAAAATAAAATAAAATTTAATTATTTTTATTTTCCACCTCATCCTCAAAATTATTAAAAATAAAATATAATTACTTTTATCTTTCAGATCCTTACTCGTCGGCGTCGCTGTCCCATGGATTCTCTTCCGCTTCTAAGCGTCTCCTGGCTTCTCCTCTGCTACTTTGCCGCTGTCGTTGCGTCCTTCCCCCTCATCGGAGCTTAGAAATTAGAACTGTGTCCCCACGGATAAAATCCTTCTCAATTGTGCCGTGACTATGGATTCCTCCGCCTCTACTTCTACCTAGCTTTCTACGGCAACAATCTCAACTCAACCGACGCTCCGCCAGCGGGTTCACTGTGCGCAAAAACTTCAGAGCTAAATTGCAACTAATTCTATGGGAGACTTATTGATTTCTGGGTCACTTTTGTGAGCTTTACCGAATGCAGAAGCTCTCAAGACCAGATCTATCTTCGTGTGGGAGAGGTCTCCTCAGCAGCCCAAAATGCTCTCGCCTCTCCTTCTCTGCCACCGACACGGCCTCTACTGCAACTGCTATGCCATGCTTCCTCTACACCGAAATCTTTGTATGTAAGAGGGGGGTAGATGAGCGAGAAATCCTGATTGGCCTAACCGTTACTCTTATCTCGATATTCCAACTGACAATTGTTAGAATCGATCCAAACACGAAAGGTTTTATTTTTATTTTTTTAAGAATTTTGATAATGAGGTGGAAATAAAAATAGTAATTTTTTTATTTTTTAAATTGCCACGTCACTCATTTAATGGTCAACTATTAGAGTTGACCGCCACATCAGCAAAAGTTAACGGAGACTAAGGGGTAGATGAGCGAGAAATCCTGATTGGCCTAACCGTTACTCTTATCTCGATATTCCAACTGACAATTGTTAGAATCGATCCAAACACGAAAGGTTTTATTTTTATTTTTGTAAGAATTTTGATAATGAGGTGGAAATAAAAATAGTAATTTTTTATTTTTTAAATTGCCACGTCACTCATTTAATGGTCAACTATTAGAGTTGACCGCCACATCAGCAAAAGTTAACGGAGACTAACGGCCAGTGACCAAACTTGGACTGTTAACCTAACTTAAGTGACTACCGATGGAATAACATAATTCAAGTGGCTAACATGAACTTTACTAGTAATTCTAGTGATCAAACTTACAACAAACCCCTAATTAATCAATTCTATCATGAAGTCTATGATATTTTTCAAGTTCATAATAAACTCAAAACCCTCACATATCCATGATTCTAATACTAATACTAATACTTACGGTCACCAAAAACAAATAAAAAGCCTCTGAAATCTGTGAATGTGAACCGATTCAATGAAGACTTTTGTTGACAAATGATAGAGGACCTGAAAAGTCGTTGCCGCGTTAATCGTATAATAATTAAAAAAATCATCCTTAATCCTTATGCTGATATAGTAATCACTATAATCATTAATCACTAATACCAACACCAACACCACGTATCATTGCTTCTCCAGGAAACAGGAAAAGGAAGATAACTGCCGTCGGCCATATGGAGGACTATTGGTTCCTTATCCTAGTCTCCATCTCCGTTGCAGCTCTCCTCAAATCCCTCATCAGCGTTTTCGCGGCACAAAAATCATGTCTCCCGCCGGGGCCCTCCGTCGTCTCAATCATCCGCAACCTGACCAAATCCTTCTCCGACCTGGAGCCCTTCCTCCGTTCCCTCCACGCCAAACACGGCCCCGCCGTCACGCTGCGCCTCGGCAATCGCCTCGCCATCTTCATCGCCGACCGCACCCTCGCCCATCAAGCTTTGATCCAGAACGGCGCCGTCCTGGCCAACCGACCGCCGGCTCAGCCTGTCTCTCGAATCACCGGCAGTAACCAGCACAACATCAACACTGCCTTTTACGGGCCCACCTGGCGCCTCCTCCGCAGAAACCTGATCTCCGAGATCCTCCACCCGTCGCGGGTGAAGTCCTACTCCCACGCGCGCGCGTGGACGCTCCGCATCCTCAGGACCCGACTCCATGAATCCGGATCGGCCCAGCCGGTTCGGGTCATGGATCACTTCCAGTATGCGATGTTCTGCCTGCTGGTGTTCATGTGCTTCGGCGACAAGCTCGGCGAGAACCAGATCTCGGAGATCGAGCGGGTCGAGCGCCAGATGCTTCTCAACGTTCATAGATTTCAGGTCCTCAACATCTTCCCAAGCTTCCTCACGCGGATCTTGCTCCGGCAGCGGTGGTCGGAGTTCCTCCGGCTGCGGCAGGGGCAGGAAGAGGTCTTGCTCCCTCTAATTCGAGCCAGAAAGAGTTTGAAAGAGGGCAGAGCTGGCAGCAAAATCAAGGAAGAAGATGACGACGGCCACGTTTTGGCGTACGCAGATACACTCTTAGATCTGGAACTGCCGGAGGAGGGGAAGCGGAATCTGACGGAGACAGAGATGGTGACTCTCTGCAACGAGTTCCTCAACGCCGGCACTGACACCACCGCGACCGCCTTGCAGTGGATCATGGCGAATTTGGTCAAGCATCCTGAGGTCCAGCACAAGGTATTGGACGAAATCAAATCCCTAATTGGCGATCGAGAAAGAATAGGAGAAGAAGGAGAGGTCAAAGAAGAAGATCTGAGTAAGCTACCTTATCTCAAGGCTGTTGTTCTTGAAGGACTCCGCCTCCACCCGCCGGGTCATTTCGTGCTGCCGCACGCGGCGACGGAGGATCTGGAGCTCGGCGGGTATTTGGTGCCCAAGGGGGCGGTGGTGAACTTCATGGTGGCGGAGATGGGTCGGGACCCGGTAGTGTGGGAGGATCCAATGAGGTTTGACCCGGAGAGATTCGTGGGCGAGACGTCGTCGTTTGATGTGACGGGAAGCAAGGAGATCAAAATGATGCCGTTTGGAGCTGGGAGGCGGATGTGTCCCGGGTTTGGACTGGCGTTGCTGCATTTGGAGTATTTTGTGGCCAATTTGGTTTGGAGTTTCGAGTGGAAAGCTGTGGAAGGTGAGGTGGTGGATCTCTCGGAGAAGCTGGAGTTTACTGTTGTGATGAAGAATCCGTTGCAGGTGCAGTTGTACCCCAGGCCAAGTCCAACGGATTCCACTTCCACCCATGGACCATAGTTGTTGATTTGTACATTTTCTATGTAATCTATAGCAATGCAATCAAAAGCGCGATTCTACCTAGTAGCGGAAAAGGGGTAAAATCGTAAAGCGTAGTATCAAAGCGTAAAAGCGTAAGTTTTTTACGCATACTGAAAAATAATTAAAAATCTATTAAATAGGACATATACTATATAAAATATGAATGCACAGAATTCAGATAAGTTAATAAATACATGCAATTCATGCTTAAAGTAGAGCAACTTATAGCATCTTAATAATAAGTTCGTAGACATAAATTTTAACAATAAGTCACTTTTCCTTCTATGCTAATGAATTTGGAAAAAGTCTAGCAGGTGAATTAGATTACGCTATTGAAGTTGAGAATGCATCCAAGTACCTGAGATGTATATTCTAATCTCAAATGTATCATATTGTTGGTGATTTACTTTTAAAATATACTTTTTATAATTAATTTCATGAAAAGAATACTCGTTTAGTGAACTAAAAGCGTAAAAAAGTAAAGCGTTTTGGTGAACTAGAAGCGTAAAACCTTAAGTTTTTAAGCTTTAAAGCGCAATTTTGTCCGATTTTATACACTTAAGTTTTTAGATGGAAATGAAAGCGTTTTGATGACCTAAAAGCGTAAAATCGTAAGTTTTTAAGTTTTAAAGCGCGATTTTGACTGCATTACTCTATAGGACTTAATTGTTGAGGGTCTTTTACGTTTGTCTACTGAAGTAGTATGTTCTTTCTATACATTCTGTACAGCCTAGTCTCAGCTAAGTTTATTTGAAGAAACATATAGTATGTTACAGTGTTACGTGCCATACGGCTTGTGGGTATTTTGGAATGAGCTTATTTGGTTCAATTGGATTATGAGTCGTTCGGATGAATGATTTGTACGAGGAATTTCAGCACAATCTTACATTCTGTGGGATTTAGTCATAATTGCAAAGGACTCCCAAAATTAAAGATTTCAAGATCGTCGAATTTCAAAACCTTTATGTGCATCATTTCAAAATAATTGATCACATAAGATATTGTGAAATAATTAATTTTATATGTTTTCTTAAAATCCTATCCTTTTCATTTTTCTCATTTCTTCCCACAACTCCATCGTTGTCCCGCCGCCTCTCTTCACCACCTACAGTTGCAGCGACATAGCCGTTGTCCTCTTTCCACAAATGATCCCTCGGTCTGCAATCACCACCTACATGGATTGGTTATTGCTGAGGTTAAACATGGTATAATTTTGACATTTTTGGGCTATTGGAGAAATATATGTGTAGTTGTATGAACAATTTGAACCATGGTTGACACCATCACAGAATATCCTCAAAGAGGACGTCGTCTCCCTCATAAGCAATTGAGGAGCCGAGTAGAATTATTGTCATTCTAGTTAGTGCTTATGCTTTGTTATTGGTTTACTGTAGATAGACACTTGTTACTTTACCATTGGTAAATTGTTCTTCTTTCTATTTTTTACTGTTGTAATTACCCTATGGTAATTTTTGTACAGCTTTGTCTTCTTCCTTGGGAAGATGACAGTATATATAAGGCTCTGAGCCACCAAGGATCCTTTGCGGGTTCCTTTACAAATTCGGAAATTCATGCACCGCATTACTTATGGTATCAGAGCCTGGTTCACTGCATTACTTGTTGTTGGGGGACGACGACGCGGTAGGAGGACGACGTTGTCCCAGACTGGAATCCAACGGTTGGTATGCCGGAGGATGATTTCCAGCTCCAAGTCGGCTATGACGGCGATTACCGCCGCTAGGATTTGTGTTATACTTCGCTAGCTCAACTCTGGAAAAGTCGGAGCAAAAAATCTTATTAGTTAATTGATTTTTTTTTCTTGTTTGTTGTAGTTGCTTTTATTTTTGGGATTTTCTATTTTGTTATTTGTTGTCATTGTAAACGTTTGTTTATGGTTTATGTGTTTTGAAAGAAAGAAAAAAATTAAGGGTATGTTTTGATAGGTGTATATAAAATATCATGTATTCGAAATACATGTATTTAATATTCATATATTTGAAATATTTGAATTTGAAATACATATAATCAAAATTCATTATTTGGATACTCATTTGTAATTAGTTGGTATTTTAAATTTTAAATTTTAAATTTGAATTTTCTGGTCACTAAATATAAATTTTGGTAAATTATATTTTGGTATCCAAATTATTTTTTCTTACAATTTAATACTGTTAGGCATGTGACGCGGATCACGCTGCGCCAAGGAAGCACTCCGGCCCCGCAACCAGGAGAGTCGGGCGCGCTAGCGCCAGTAAAGCGCGGCAGTGCCATCAACGCCAGTATCGGGCGCGCTAGCACCCGTGAAGCGCGGCAGTGCCATCAACGCGAAGATCGGGCGCGCTAGCACCAGCGAAGCGCGACAACTCCACCATCAAGAGCGTCACGCGCACCAGCGCCGACGTGACCAAAGACAGCCCGAGCTCCGAACGACGACGTTTGAGTCCAGCGTTGACCAAGTTAGCGAGTGTGGGAAAACGACGCCGCGTCTCACCCATCGAGTGGTCACATCACAGTCCTAGTCCTAGTCCTATGTATAATAAAAGGCTAAATGTACTTGTCCTAGGTAGAGGTATGGTCTAGACCTCTGACATGTCAGTGGTCATGTCACCATGTAACTCACCCATCACCATGTAGCCTATAAATAGAGCATTTACTCCGGTGGGTGAGAGGAGGGGATTTTTCTGACTCTATCTCTAAGAATTATCAACTTCTCTCTCTAAGATCTCACCCTCTCAACTCTATTCGTTGTTTCCTCGGTTCTTTCGTTGACGGTTATTCTCCTATTGCTTACTCTCCTTGACCCATCTTCCCGAGTCTCACTCCTACACCCAGTTAGGCTCAAACAATTGGCGCCCACCGTGGGGCCGAGTAGAGAAGCAAAAGAAAACCGACCAATGGCAGAGCATAACTCCAACTCGCCAGACGAATCAACGCACATCAAAGCGATGACCAACCCAAGGGAATTCGCAGAAACTAGCAACCTCAACGCGGTGCTCCTCGAAGAAGAAGAGCCCGAGCTCACAGCCAAAGAAATGAAGCAGCTAATGGCAAAGAAAAACAGCGTCATAGCCGACATGCAGAAACAAATGAGCCAGGTCATAGCGCTCATGATGAGCAAAGAGGTCGCGGCGACAGTAGACGCGACACCAGTCGCACCCCAACAAGCCCCAGGAGAAGCATCGGGGACTGCCCTACCACCGCAGTCCGCGTACGAAACGCAACAAGTTGAGCTGCCAGGCAGGGCGGACCTCAGCTTCTTGGAGCAACATCTATCTCCTCAATACCGTCCCAACCCGCCCAGGAAGGCCCTCCACCAACCGCTAAGCGCAGAAATCATGGCGGAACACCTGAGCGGAATGCCACCCGCCCTCCCGATGTATAACGGAACGACCGACCCCGAGGATCACGTGAGCACCTTCTGCCTGCGGATGCAACTCCAAACCAACTCCAACGCGGCACTATGCAGGACCTTCCCGTCAACGTTCGCCGAAATATGCCTCGATTGGTACAACAGGCTGCCGAACGGAATCATCCGCTCATTTGAAGAGTTCATACTCTTATTCACGATGAAATTCGCATCCCAAAAAAGAAGACCTCTCCACCTCAAGGCGCTGATAGACATCAGGCAAAAGGAAGGAGAAAGCCTGCGAGCGTTCTATGCTGGATGGTGCAGGGTGTCAATGGTCGTGCGCGATCTTACCCCCGAGACCGCCGCCCATCACCTTATGGAAGCCACCACCAACATGGAGCTCAAGCGGGCGTTAGCAAAAAGACCTGTCACGCTATCGACAGAGTTGGAGATGAAAATAGAGAAAGCTATCACGCTAGAAGAAACCCTCGGAGCGGGATCTGTCAGGCGTTTCGAACTGGCAAGAGCGTCCCGAGAGGACCAGGGGAGGAGGCAGCTTCCGGTGCCACCGCGAGAACAATTGGTGCAACTACACAGCGTTCCGAACCGCCACCCCCCTCCCCCGCAGGAGCAAGCACAACGAGGGCGATCTCCAGACAGGCCCATGACGAACGCCTACACGCCACTCAACGACTCCGTGAAAAATGTGTTTCACGTCCTCCGCGAGAAAGGATACAAGATCAATTGGCCCGCGCCTCTGAAGTCCTTACCACACATGCGCGATCCCAAGAAACACTGTGACTTCCATAGAGCAACGGGGCTCTGGACAGAAGATTGCAGAGAGATGCGTTACGAAATAGAAGGCCTCATACGACGAGGACTACTGACCGAGTTCATCCACGAGAAAGAGGAACAGGTAGCGCATCCCCAAAACCCGCCACCACCCCCACAAGCCGACTACAACGAGGCCACTGGCGCGTATGTAGTGCGAAAGGAGATAGGGGTGGTGACGGTAGAGGGAGATCGCCCCAAAAAGAAAACCAAGAGCGAGCGCGCATCGGAATGCGCGGCGGTCGAGACGCGGCAGAAGTACAACCTGAGCTTCGATGACACAGAGTTCCCACAAGGTGTCCTATCGGAAGACCCACTCACCATCACTGCGCTAGTTGCCGCCTGTAAAATTCATCGTCTACTGATAGATGGCGGCAGCGCGGCTGACATCCTCTTTAAGAGCACAGTCGATCAAATGGACATCGACCCGCGCCTAATCAAGCGTGCACAGGGTAACTTGGTCGGGTTCTCTGGAACAAGGGTTCCGGTAATCGGTGTGGTCACCCTTCTAGTAGTAGTCGGAGACCAGGAGCTGTGCATCTCCAAGCAGGTTGAATTCACAATAGTCGACTGCAAGTCGGCGCACAACGACATCCTTGGCCGACCCTTCCTAGCTAAATTCATGGCTCTCCCGTCAACGTGCCACCAGAAGCTCAAATTCCCCACCAAGACAGGGATCGGGGAGGCGCGGGGCACGCCATGGGAGGAGCGCGGAGAAGCGCGCCAGACCAACATTGTGGACACGAGAGCAGAGGAGCCGCGTCCAGAATCTATGGATTCTGACTTCGAGGTCGCGCTCGACCCAACCGAGCCGACTAGGAAAATACGCGTCTCAACACATGTCCGCAGTGATGTGATCGAGCCACTGATAGTGCTGCTGAAGGAATACAAAGAGTTGTTCGCTTGGTGCACAGAAGACATGCCGGGAGTTATGAGGCAGATAGCCCAGCATTGCCTCGCAGTTCCAATCAACGCGGAACCAAGGCAACAGGCGCGAAGAGGCTTTACCGGCGACAAATTGAAGGCCATAGAGGAAGAGGTCGCGCGGTTATTGGCAGCGGGATTGATCCGCCCGGTGAAATATCCAAAGTGGTTGGCAAACGTAGTCCTGGTGAAGAAATCTTCAGGA